TGTCTCCGACTCAGTGGATTTCGGGAAAAATCTCTAAAAAACAAAAAAAGAAAATTTGATTTTTTAGTTTATAGCCAAATCACAAAAAATTTTTTTTCTTTGTCTTATCTTTCTTTTTTAATAAATATCGTTATAAAATAAATTTAGATAAAATAGAAAAATCAAGTTTGAAATGAAAAATGTCTAATAAAATAGCTATCTTGCTTTTAATAAATAATATTTATATAATAAGCAAAATTTCCGTTCGTTATATTTTTAGAAATATAAAAATATTTGAAAATCAATGATATAAAAATATTTACTTATTAAGTAATATATAATTTCTTACATATATATACGTATACATATTCTATAATATTACACTTAAAATTTTTGTATAATTTAATTTAAATTCCTTCTTAAGTAAGATAAGTTTAAAATATATTATTATCGTTTCTTTTCTAATTTCTTTATCTTTAAAATAATTTATCTGATTAAATTTCCCGATTTAAAATAAAACTTACTTATTTGAAATTAACGAATAATTATTTTGTTATTTTTTTATTCATACTTATCAACAAAAGTTTCTTATTTTCAATATTTCAATATTATCACTTTAAATGGCATTTAGACATTAATATTAAGAAACATTTTATTTCTGGTCAAACAGTTTACTGTAAACACTAACTCGTGATACATAAATTAATTAAAACATGTGCACAGATATACCTCTAAAATACTTCTGAACATCTGTCACACATGGTCCTGTGTTCACGAAACAATTGTAATATTCATTTTGCGGTGCATCGTTCTGGAGGATATCCATTATCTCAATATCGTCAAATTTATCGGAATAAAGCTCTTCCGCGAGAACGCACATCAGTGCAATATCGATACACATTACAATATAGCTTAGTCGATCCATTGTTTCTTCTATTTTCATACTAACTCTTGAGATATTGATTAATCGATTAAATAATCATCTTATTTATACGTTAAAGTAGGATATAAAAAATCGTGACGTGTAAGATGCTTGAGTAAACTTGACAATGTGAAAAACACATATCTATGATAACAAAATGAAAAATCTGACGAAGATAATTAGCAAACCTAAATCACTTTTTTACATAAAGATAAATTGATATCGAGCAAATAGCATAAATTAGCAACATTTTATGCATCATACATATCCGGCAATTTATTCTTAGATAACAAGCTAAAGTTTCAAATAAATTAATAAACTTGAACTGAAAATAAAACTTTTTACCAATTTATATTAGTAAAAAGAAATGTAATTTAATAGTTACAAACTAATAAAGAATAGTTACAAACTAATAAAAAAATCTTATTTTTCTCATTAGAAAAAAGAAGGGGGGTAATGGAATACCATTTTCTTTTCTTAAAATAATTCAATAGATACTAATATGATATGACTCTTACAAGTCACAAGTTAATTACACATCACAAAATAATTGCTTTGCTGCATTAATAAGTATTATACAACGTCTACAATACAATCGTAAAATGATAAAAGCGGTCATAATATTAATCGCGGCAATCAATTAGCTTTTGATTGGCCGTCGCAAATAATGTTACGGTCGCTTTTGCGACTTTGTGATCTCATTAGAGGAGTTTTATAAAAAAAACTAATAAATAGATACAAAAGTGTTATATAAGTATGTTAGTGAATTATAACGCAACAATTGCAATGTAAATGGGGATTTCCCATATATAATTTTATATGTCGAATACATACACATATTACTACATATATTATATATTGGAAAGCCACATTCGAGGCCTTCAAAATAGTTTACAATTATAAAATTAATATAATTAACATATTTTTCAAAATTGCAATAATTACGTAAAGAGTATACACCTGTAACCAAATAAATAATTTCTACTACTTTCAAAACTGAAATTCAGCTTTTATAAAAACGCAGTGAACACTGATGACTAATAATTGTTTTACAATTCTAAATAAACTGAAACAAAAATCTTCAATCTAAATAAACTATAACAAAATAATTTCAACAGTTGTTAGAATTTAATACAAAGTATATGAAATATTATGACATCTCACCACTCTATATCTATCTCATGACCGCATTGTCTCTTCTATGCTATTTTATAGTCAGAGCATATTAACAGTG